TGGCACTTCAGGACATGGTTTAGTGGGTATGGTGGTGTTGGGCTGATGGTTGGACTTGATGATCTTAAAGGTCTTTTCCAACCTTAATGATTCTGTGGGTCTCGCCCATTGCCCAGCCTCTCCCTGCAAGTGTGCACTGTCTGTGCTGGTCCGCTGGGGCTCATCTGGCTCCTAAAGGCAATATGCACCCCGCTCTGCTCACATGGTTCTCCTTCCAGATGTCAATGCTGGTGATGAGCCTGAGAAACGATGACAGCAAACCTCTGCAGAACAATTACCGGCCGGTGCAGGACCTGCACGGGCGACGGGTGCTGGCGAGTTTCCAGACCACCCTCTCTTCAGCAAAGCAGATGCCTTCTGGTAAGGAGCGTGTGAGCATGCTCAGGCTGCACCCAGCTGCAGGGACGCAGAGATGGGGCGAAGAGCAGGAGTCAAGGTTTCGTGTCTCTTAGAGAAATGCGCCATTTGCAGTGGTTAACCCTGCCCGGCACGTGACTTATGGCAGCACTGGTCTTGGGGTCCTGCTCTCACCCATTTCTGTGCTTCTCTCACCCTGCCTGGGGAAGATCAATTTCTAGGAACTATTTTATCCTTGATCTTGCAGAATTAACAGTAGCGGGACTAGAGGATGTATGGTCAAGGGCAAATGGATGGGTCCTAGCATCCCAGCTAGCTTCTTCATCCCCAAACACAACAGCTCAGCAGCACTGGTCTTGGGGTCCTGCTCTCACCCATTTCTGTGCTTCTCTCACCCTGCCTGGGGAAGATCAATTTCTAGGAACTATTTTATCCTTGATCTTGCAGAATTAACAGTAGCGGGACTAGAGGATGTATGGTCAAGGGCAAATGGATGGGTCCTAGCATCCCAGCTAGCTTCTTCATCCCCAAACACAACAGCTCAGTAGGAGCTGCAGAGGTACAGGCTTGCAGCGGGCACCCCACCCCCCAAACCCTCGCAGTGCAGGGGGGGGACCCCTCCTGAAGGCTGCGCTCTGCGGTGGGGCCACGCAGCCGTCCTGCCAGAGCCATCCCTGTCTGCCCATCCTCAGTTCGTCCTCGAAGGCCTTTCTTGCCTTGGTGATTTCCAGTGATGAGTAGAAATTCCTGTTAATCCTCAGGTGTGACTATCGCTCTGCATCGCTGAATTTTTGCCCGTTGCTGCTCTTTGAGGTCACTGGGGTTTTTCTGTCCAACATCCTGTTCTATTCCTGTTTTGATGGCATTTCCTACACCTTGTGTCAAGGTGACTAATAGAAATAGGACACAGGCTTGGTCCCAGGCCCTTGGGCAATGCCTCAGTAACCACACACCACAGTGCAAGGCACTTCCCTTCACCGTCCCACCTGC